CCCCAGCTTACCGGATCCACGTGAACATGAGCACCGTGCGGATTCTCCGCGCTCTAGACCAGGGCTTCGTGACCGAAGTGCGAGGCCGCACGGAACTAAAGGTGAGGCCGGGCCCTGCCCCATACCAGAGGCCCCGTCCCCTCCTGGGCTTCAGGTGGAAGACACGGCTCCCCCCCCCGGGCTCCCGATTCCACGCGGACCTCGAGATCGCGCACCTTTCACCGCAGTCCGCCTAAGCCCTCCTCTGCCTCGTGTCTCCCCAGGGTAAAGGCGCAGAGGAAACATACTGGCTGGTGGGCAGACGCGGCTTCAACAAGCCCATCCCCAAACCGCCAGACCTGCAACCGGGGTGAGGGGTCGGCATCCACGGGCGGGGCGAAGGGCGGGGCGAGTCCCTCCACGCCTTCTGACCCACCCTGACTCTGACCCCAGCGCGAAGCGGCAAGGACCTGGGCGTCCTCCTCCCACTCCCATTCCCTACCCCTGAGGCCACTGTCCCCTCCCCACAGGGCCAGCAATCACGGCATCAGCCTGCAGGAGATACCCCCCGACCGGCGCCTGAAGCTGGAGAAGGCGAGACCAGGCCAGTTCTCCGGGCAGTGAGGCCCTGCCCTAGACAGGTGCTACCCCAGGCTCCCTCCTCCAGCCGCCTCTCCCCAGACCCCAGGGCCGCTTCCCCTCGGGGGAACAGCCTAGGGAACAGCCCCCTGTTCACTAGCCTAGCACTGCTTGCAGAACTCCCGGCCTAAAGTACGTGACCTGATCTCATTCTGACTTACTGATCCCAAGCTAGCTCTTGAACCCGGAGAGTTCCCCTGCAAGGGAAGAACGTGCAGCAGAGATTCTGATACAGTAGGTCTGGAGTGGTCCAGGAATTAGAGCTGAGGACACTCTGCTGCCATGACCTTCTATGACTTCTCCCCTAACCCCACCACCTGCCCAGCCTACACCAGGCCTGCCTGGAAGTCTCGCAAACGGTGCACTGCAGGAGAAGCAGAGCTGGAGGGGGCAGCACTCACCCAGGGCAATGTGAGGGCCTTCCCTGGAGCTCTGTTAAAGAAAAGCCCTGCCCACTACCCTCCTTCAAGAACCTCTGACCCATGACCCTCCCCTTCCTAGGTGAACCCCCATGATACCTATCTTCAGTTTCCCTCTAAGACACTT